GGGGGGGGGGGGAGCTGCATCGGCGGCTGATTTCCCGATTGGATGTGATCGTTGTACCGCCGACTTCGGTTTTTTGGAGACCTTCTCAAATTCCTGCCCGGCACATGCCATAAATTCATGCCTGCTCTCAGGAGCAGCACTTCACCCCGTACACACACTTATCTCGAATAACAGCAACCCCAAGAAACGGTCTGAACATGAAGAAAATGACAAAAACAATCGGCTTCAAAAAGAAGACGCAATTGTCTCAGAGCTGTGGACGACAATAAGCTCGACTAACCTTACGGGCGTTTTGCTCTTGTTCCTTCTCCTCTCTTTGGCGACGCTGCAGGTCCGAACAAAAACGTCCACATCCAAGGGCGGGACGGGCAAGGGGTTGGGGGGGAGGGAGGGAGGGGGGGGGCGGAGTTGGCCGAGGGAGAGAGATGGAAGGGGATGGGCCAATCGCTGACTGAGTAGTCTAATGGGTAAGCCTTTACCAATCGAAAGATACACTCTCGGCTCGTAGAATCCCGGGCTGTGAGTAGAGATCTCCGGGGACGGACCCCTCGCCAGGCGCTGCTGGAGAAGAACTATGGTGCTTTTTCGTAAAGTGATCAGCCCGGGATTTGAACCTGTGCGTGTATCCTTCGATTGGTAAAGGCTTACCCATTAGACTACTCAGTCAGCCTGTAGACGAAAGGAAAAACGCAAATCAGATCGAGAAAACAAAGATGCACCAACAAGGAAGGAAGCTCAGTTCGTCGACAAAAAACAGAATGACACAAGAGAAACGCGCAACATTGCCTTCCATAGCCTTGGTGCCTATCCAGAAAAAACATCGAGAGCAATCTCTGAACCCTGCTAAATAGTGTTCCGGTTCTTGCGGTCGGCGCCATCGAACCCTACCCGTTAAGGACTCGCACGCATCACCTCGCAAGGTGCCATCGGCATGTGCGTACGCCCTTTGTTTGATACCCAAGTGCTCTACAGAACCAACAAGCCAGGGGCATTCATTCTACAAATACAACAACGCCAAAAGCCGGGCAACTTTTGAACAAGTAACCAATGAAACTAGAGTTCAGAGACCAGTAAACGACCAGGGAGGGGGGGGGGCGGGGGCGGTACCTTGAGGCGGAACCATGTCTCCTTTTCGATGTTCGGGTGGCAGTCCGATTCGTCGTCGCTGATCTGGTCGTTCATCACCGTGGTTCAAGAGGGACGGGCGGTCGTGAGCGGGCAGGTCGCCAACGACACACGTGCAGCGCTTGCCCCGAGACGTGAACCACGTGCATTTTCATCCGCAGCACATGAGACAAACTCGAGGGGGCATTAAACCCCGCCCACGGCGGGATACCTACGCCAAGGGAGGGCGGGTATACACCGACCAGCAATGTACATTTTCGAAGCAACCATAAAAAGCCACAAAGCCTACCGCACCACGCCAAGCCCACGCCAACACTACGTATACGAAAACAATGCTGCTCAAGTGAACATCCTTCGCGCGACCAATAAATAATTGAGGAAATAGAAGAGGGAGGGGGGACGCAGACCCTATTCCCTAACCCTAGCTCCCCAACTTTCCCTATTGTATGCTTCATCCGACATGTTTGCATAATACGAAAAAGCTGCCAAGGCTATTGGCTCACGTCGATGTGGTCCCACTTGCTGTAGTCGGTAATGGCCGTCATCTCTGCGATGGAAGCACGCCACTCGTTGCCGCACTTGTGGTTTTTACTCAAGAGGGCAGTCGGAGCAGCAAAAAAATATCCTCCCCAAGATGTGTACGCGCGCTTTGAGCAGGAGCAAAGCCTATTACAAAGGAGCGGGAGGGGGGGGGCGGGGGGCGCAATGCAAGGCAGCGGATGATGTCACTACAGTACTGCTGTAGCACTAGAAGCACCGCCGTCAGCGGCATGAGCTTTGGATGCCTCGCCTTGTCTTCATCGGGACTTGGCACCGCTCGTGCGTGCCATCATGCTACAGATTACACGCTGTCCAGATTGACAGCAGTCCTCATGTTTGCATACAGCAGTCCTTTTCTTGATTTTTCCAGTCTAGCGTTACCTCGCAAAGCGTGTAGAGGCGAGCGGAGTGGCCCCTATTGGCTTGCGGACCCTTCTGATCGATTTTTATTGTGTATACCTTTGTTGAGTAAGTTAGCCTGTGACCACGGGAGTCGACCCCGTCAAGTGTTCGACTACACTGCCGACAGAAGAAGGTACTGGGCAGAGAGAACGGAACGGTTGAAGAACCTACAGGTGAAGAAGAGTTGCGACTATTGGAACTATTGCTGGGTCTCAATTTTCAATCGGCCTTAGTACACATTGTGACCCAGCGCATTTTCAGCAAAATTACATACAGCACCAAGCGTGTTCGGTTTTATCTTCTTCTCTCTCACATGAAGATGGTGAGTACAGGTGACAGAGGGGTAATACACCCTGCCGGCTGCGTTTTCGAGAAGATCGGGTAGTTCCTTGTGTCCAACAAGGCAGGGTGGGAAGTGCCGCACCCAACTAAATCCCCATGATATTCATCGCTCCAACCTCGGAGGCTAGAATACTTGAGAGGGAGCGATGGTACAGTGTTTTTGTTAGTCAGGGTGTATATTTTTTCGAGCCCGTGACCCTACTGCTGTTCGCTTTGGTTGGTGCGACATGTTGCGTGATCACCCGGTCCTTCTAGATTCTGCAGCAGGAGCAGATGGCGGCCAGTTTCTTTGAGATCCCCCAGCAGCACCTGAAATCTATTACGATTGCCGCGGCACGCAGAAACACGAGGCCCAAGAGGGTCGACTCATGAAGCCAACAACAGCCGTTGACCTTGGAATCTCTCACCTTGGTTGTTCGAGGCTAGGCGTGTCTCCGAGGGTGTGGAGATTCGACCCGCAACAGCTAGGAGGGGACCACACACATAGGAGTTTTTACATGTATACCCAATGACTACGTTCTGCGAACGCCCGGCCGGCCGGTCGGCCTTCTGAGGTCTTGCAACAACCTGGCTTGCCCAAGCATCGCCCAACAGGTTTCTAAAGCACAACATGGCTGACGCGCCTGCTCCTGCTGGTGGTGGTGATGGTGGAGGAGGGTGGAGCGGTGGTGGTGGCGATGACCGCGGTAAGAGAAGCAACAAACTTTTGTGCTAGACCGCGTCGTCCTGTCATTCGTCCTCTCTCGCCCACACACCTCGCGTCCGCCTCACGGTTGTGGTCGTTGTTCATTGCTGCGCGTCGTGGGTTAGGTGTGGCATGTACTGCATTGAGTTGTGTGTGCACAGGGATATATATCCACCTAAGGCCAGATGTGGGACTTCGGCCGTTTCGCAGCCCAGTCCCTCCCTCGTCGCTACAGCAGATACTACGTCCACCCCGTTCTTTTGTTTTGAATGGTTGCGAGTTGCGCGTGGCAGCACAGGTCACCGTTCGTTGTACCTCTGTATCGCCGCCAGGGTGCTACTCGCGCTCCGTTGACACCAAGTACGTTTTCAGAACGCGGCGACTCAACGCACCAAGGAGGGAGCCAATTGTTTTTTCACGTTGTTCCCTCGAGTCCTTCCGTCCTTTGCCGCCGCGGGAGGTGGATTTCAACGTTAGATAAGGCCCCCCTCCCCCAACCGGGAGGATGAGCCAAGAGATGTTTGAGGAAAAATATATACACGCACGGGAAGACTACCCATTCGAGATATACCCACAGTCGAACGGGATGTGGTGGAGCCTTTCAGTGAGTGGAGGAAAACCGGCTGGACGCTGGACTTCTTTCGAGCATATTCGAGTCTGTATACTGATGATTTATATCATTGATGCTTCTCATGGATTGGTTTGGTTGTATCCCTCATTGCAGCTTGCGATCGTGAACTGCGTATGCATAGATAGTACGGTACACCATAGGAAAGTCCCAAGCTGACCCCATCGGTGTCAACACCTGCACGACACCCTTGTATCGGTAAACTTCATGGTGTCCTTTTGTGAGCTCATGCCACCTCCGACCATCATCCTCCACGCTGGGGAGAATATTACCTACCGTGCGAGGTTGATTGTGTTGCCGACGCTATGCATGCAACTGCTCTTCTAGTGTATGCGTTGCCAGATAGCGCCCGCGCTTTATATGCTCAACGTTGTATCCAACGCAAGAACTTGAGTACCGATTCGTGAGCCCGGCCAAGAACCCCCACAATAATCCCTACCAGTTAATTGTAGCCCAAAAAAGGAACTAACTGAACAAACCCAGCCTCGGGCGAGAGTACCTAAATAGAGGTTCTTGAATGCGGGCACTATCTGTAGTCCTCTAGCTTGTGCCAGAACATGCACAGCATGGTGAAGATCATGCCTCGTTCCTGTTGATTGATGTATTAAAAAAGCGGGCTCCCCAGCACGCCCGGTGGCACCGCGAAACGGCAGCCTGCAACCCCGCGCACGCTTGCCGAATCGCCACGCGTTGCTCTCGTCATGACGGGAGGAGCGCGAATTCTAACCGTGCATGGTACGGAGCCACTCCAACAAGGTTGTGACGACCACATCTGTCTACCGTGGCTTGTGCAGATACCACACACACTCTGGAGCGATTTTGAAAGCTCGTCTGCGGCACGAAGCCGGATGCCGAAATCGAATTATCGTTTGCCGAAAGCTCTTGTCCAGAGCCTGCCGAAAACGGATCATTCGATGTCGGCATCCCTCTTCGCCGTGGCTGTCGAGGTTTCAATATCGGTTCAGAGTGTTTAGTATCTTGTGCAACATACGGTAGTTTGTCTAAATCGTTTTGGGACGGAACGTCTGTGACGCTCAGTCTGGACGCTGGGATGTGAGGCGTCCTCGGTTGTCGCCGGGCGGACCGCGTTGTTGCAAAGCAGTGTGTGCTCTCGCCGCCTTCGCGCGGGGTGAAGTCTTATCTTAGTCCTTGGGAGGCGACAATCCCAAGGAGATTGAACCCGTCCCACCCCCACTGCTCCGTTCTGTTCCATAGGCAAGCAACGACCTCTTATTCTAACCCCTCCCCTTTCACTTCCGACTCTGAACTTCGCTTTACCCAAGCTTGAGTTCAACGGTATACCGGCATGCACGCGGCTACGAGTACACCCCCCCCCCCCCCC